TTTTAAATTAAAAAAAAATTTTCAAAATTATTTAATATTACTAGAAATTGCAGTCTGATATCTATTGTTTTGATCATATGATTGCTTTGAGAAATCAAGACCGTCTCGGAAAGAGCAATATCATCTTTGACATTTGATCTGTTTCACGATTTAGTTTTTATCGTGACGGGTATATCAATGTACACCAACATTTGATTACATTTTTCGATTGAAAATGTTCGTGTGCCATTTCTTTTGATCTTATAGAATATATTATATATCATCTTTAATAAGATCTGAATTATTATCAATAGCGTTGAAGTCTACAAGGAATTGGTGTGGGTATCCGTGTTTCTATTTTTGAATATTGTGTAGAATTTAAATGAAAAACGAAAAATATAATATACCATTTATAAATGCATTTAAAAGTTAAATTTCAATTTTAATTACAACAATTTATACATTAATCGGTAATCTCCAGTCGTTGGATGATTTGAATCATTTAAAACAAAATATTTCAATTTATTAAAAAATAAATTCAGCGTCACTCAGTAGTCCGTACACTACCAATCATCGGAATTCTTATAACTTACACGGATCACCTGCTGTTATACGAGACACCGCACTAGAGCGAATATTCTGAATCAGTGGTCTCGATTTATTGGTAGCGACCCAACTTTCTATCACACCATATATTTTATAAGATTATCGCTGAGCGCTCAATGCATTGTATCAAGCTTTATATTTTGTATTTATTTTTACTTCAATACTTATTCCATTAACTTTTCAACGCAGTACATATTTGTAGTATTTTTATTATATTTTGTATAATATGTATTATTATATCCATATTTTACTACCGTCAAGATTAAACAAGCCTTTTTATTTTAAAGGATGACCATTTCTTATATAAATTGAGCGGTGAATAAAATGGATAGAAGTTGAAATATTGAAAGACCTATGCTCTATTCTAACTATCATCATAAAAAATGTCTTGTAGATAATAACAAAAACAATTTCAATGTCTTTTATCATATTGGTTGTAGGATTAATTATTTTAACTTCTTATGATATATGTTTAATTTACACGAGTTATAATTAATTCAACTAAACAATGGTTTTAAATTTCAAGGTAAAATATATAAATTACTTATAAGAACAGAAATAAAGTCGATAAATTAAAAATAAAATATATTTGGATGATGTTGCTACTTCTAGATCATTATTTCATCATTAGATAAAGACGATCAGTAAGACCGTTAACAGACTCTAAGATTCTATTTTATCTACAATAAAAAAACCTTTTTTATTACACACCTGACCAGTATTTTAGTGTTTAAAATCTTTATTTAAAATATAAATCAATTTTATGTTTTGACAAAAAAAGTCAGTTCTTTTCGATATCAATATTTCTAATTTCAATTCTTGTAAAATGTTTTCATCTTAAATCAATTATATTATTTTTTATTTTGATTAACATTGTTGGTATAGGTACTTACTTAACTCAAAATTTAAACCCATGCAACGAATGGTAAAATATGTAAATAAAAAAATATCAATTTATAAATACGGTCATTTTCACAAAATTCTTATAATGACCAGACGTATATACGTGAACTGGAAGGTACCTACAATAGTTATAAATTTTCGAATTTTAACAAAGGATAATTATTGTGTCCGTAATAACCATAATATAATGAATGAGAAGTTTAGCATTGCTAGAAACGTTTCTAACTTTATTACTGTAGTCCAAAATGTTTACAGAACAACTTGTGGCTTATTGAAATGTATAAAGTCTATTAAATTCAAGTACAGTTATAACTTATAGATTTTAAAACGCCTTTGTTCGTGACGGCCAAGCCGGTGGCTGAATTTCCGTTTTGGATAATATGTTTAAATAAGTTAACGACGAGTGCGTGCAAAGACGGAACTACTGCACATTCGTTGTAACGATATAATACCATATGTACACGAGAACTCATCTGGAAATACTGTCAAATCTATTCGAAACCACCAATATGTGACACGTGCATGACGGCACGTCAAATTTAATAAAGACGAGACTGTTGTTGATGCTTAGCGATGTGATATTGATGACATCGACGGCGGCTAACTTATTTTTATTTTGAGTGTTGCCATCGTTATGATCAGCACCGTGTTATTATTATTATTGCCTGCCCTCTTTTTACTTTAAGTGCTACGATTATTTTCCATGTACAACACTCGCACCATCCCCACGAACACTGGCAAAGTTTTGACAGTAAAGTATTTGTTATTATTATACAAGACCGGCATTTAGATATTTCAATATTAAGCCGAAGACTCCTTGTCCATTCGAGTTAACCTAACATTACGCGGCTTAAATTTGAGTTTATAACAAAGGTTTTCACCTTTTTTACGTTTGATAAACACGTAACATATTTAAATATTTTATAACTATATATACATACACACAAAACGATCTATAAACACAAAACATTTTTTATTTCATTCAATTATGATGTATTTGAATACAGAATATTTGTACTTAGTGTCTTACCTATTAAAATGTATTCAAACAAAAACAAAATATTAAGATAAAACCGTACAAAAGTTGTAACCTAAATTGTTTAGAAATTGACAATAATTTGTTACTGTTAAAGTGTGAAATAACGTCCTCTTACCATAAGCTGTAGCTGTAACGAAGCCCTATAACCAATTTAGGTATATCCAACAGTTAAATAGATGTGTTGATTTTCTTTAATTCTTATAAGTTACAGACATAAAAATATATTATATTTTATATTTTTATTATGAGTTCAAATTTATTATTTTTGTACATATTTATGCTATTAGAAATAACTTATGATTAAACGCTGTAAAATGTATTTTTTTTATAAAAAAAGGAAATTCAAAGTACTAACTAAAAATAATAAGCACAGTGTGATGTAAATGCATAAATTAAGAAAATTAATAATTATTAATACATACATTCATCCAATATGATGTAAATTTAATATTGTTTAAATGAAAGTAAAATCAATTTTAATTACAATAATGAATTGATATTTATATATTTTACTTTCTAATTTCTATTAATTATATTATTTCATAATACATGATATTGTATAATATTAATGTATAAAGTTATAAATTAAAATATTTCATAACATTCAATTATACAAAAAAAAAATTAAATAAAAGTATTTTTAAAAACCGATTGGATAGGTAAAATAGATATTAATAATAAACTTATATAAATAGTAATTAATCATGAATAGAAACAAATTGAAAGTACAGTGATATTGTTTTCAATTAACATATTTCGTTTGTTATGAAATCTATAAATCGTATGAAATATCATTTTATTTAAGTTTATTTTAAGTTTATATTTATTCCCGTCAAAAATATGAACATAATTAATTAAACATTAGCTTTTCTATTATTTACAGGTAAAAAAATCACGTAAATTTGATTAGTATTATAAATAAATAGATTACACAGTAACACTATATTAATTGAAAATGTATGTTTACATTTTTATATATATTTATTGTATAGTATAGCTATAACTTCCCCCAAAACGTGCAAATATATTACACCCCAATGATAACCGAATCAGTAATTTTATTTATACGTCTCTATCATTCACCCCAGCAACGCTCATTGTACAAACCACTATGGTATTATTAGCTCTATCCACCATTTTATTGTCCCATAAATACTTATATTACCTATATGATTTTTTTAAAAATAATACATACATCACATATTTCATTAATATTTGATTATATTTATAATATATATCCATAACGATTTTGTAATATTGTTAATTTCATTTTTTTTAAAGAATGTAATATATGAACTTTTGTTGAATATAATATAATATAATATAATATAATATAATATAATATAATATAATATACATAATATGAATTGATTATACGCTTCAAATAAATTTAAGTCCTACTGATTTAATAACTATAAAAAATATTGTAGATTTCATACCATTTAAATAAAAAAATAAATACTAGGATATAAGCTTTATTTATTTATTTTAATGTACTATATATTTATATAATGTTGTATAATTATTAATTTTTATCCCATTTCCAATTATTCAACATAATTTAAAGGTTTTAAAATCTATCAGTCATGACATTTTAAATTGCTGTTCGTACGATTTTATTGCATTTCGATGTCAGATATCTACGTGAGAACAATTACAATTCACCTATTATAATATTAAATTTATTATTCAATGGGTATGTAATGTGATTTTCAGTACTAATGAAATATTTATCAAGCAAGCTGCCTAAAATTATAATTAAGTTTTGAATATAGGATTTAATATTTTACCATTCATTAATTCTTGTTTATTATACATATTATATTATTTATAATAACTTGAAGCACTTATATATTATAAATGTCACAGTTATGTTTTTCTCATCGTCTGTCGATATTAATTTGTTAATGTTTATACAAATTCTATAGTTGATTTTCTTGTATTTTAAAAGATTATATTTTTAGTAGGAAGGTCATTATCAGTCTATGTTTTATTTTAGTTTATAAAATGAATTTACTGTTTACCGACATTAATATCATGGTGTAGTGTACAAAATTGAGTGGAAAGGTACACTTTCGACGAGATACACAATTACCTACTCCTTTTGTTTAAACTTTACAAACAATACATGTTAGAGGTAACCTACATTTGGTCAATATTTGATATTGAAGTGTCTTGCGATAACGCTGGGTATTATAATATATTATTATTTATTATGAATTTTTAATGTGTGAGACGTGAGTATTAAGTACCTACTTTGCCTGAACATTTTATAAAACGTATAGGAATTATGTATGCATTAGTAATATATACATATAGGTACATACATTGGTGTATACGTGTACACGTAGAACTATTATTGGTTTTAAGACAGTTTAAAAGCTTTATAACTCAAAACCCTCAATTATCTTATTTGTTTATACAAAAACAACAAAATATAAAATTGTTAATATTTTTGTGTGTTTTTTTACAGTTATATCAACATATACCATACCATACCATACCACAAGAACATTAAAAAATATTTAAAATATCATTTTTTGGATAGCGAAAGCTGGAAGATAATCAAATAATAAAAACACAAGCTAAAATACAAGCTTAATACAATTTGAATAAATTATTGTACAAATCAAACAATATACATGTGTTTTGAAATAAATATGCATATTACATCAAAGTTTTCTCAGGTAAGTTTCTATTATTTTATTTATTTTCAGGTAATTTGTAACTCGTTACTCGTTAGACACACTGAATGTTTAAAATATACACATTTCGATATTGCAATAGATCTAGTGTAAAGAAACTATAAACTATATTATGTAACAAAATTAAAAGTATAAACTAAATAGGTATATGCTGGATTATGTTAGCAACAGGCGCGATTAAAATTGTTTTCAATACATTGTTATATTATTGAACAGTTTATGTACATTTGCATTTACTAACTCGCCATATGATCAGTTTAAATAAATTCACTTTTCTACAACCCCGTCCTCCGTGCATGTTCTTCTTAGTTCTTTGACTTAGGAACGAACATAATTTAAAGTACCAGCGTATTAATACATTTAAAAACGATTTTGTAGTATATGCTTAAATAATAATCCGTATTATAATTATTGCGCAATTAATGAGTTTAAAAAATACAATAGATTATACCTATTAAGGAGTTAAAGGAAATTAAATGTATTGGTACATCGCAACAAAATAATGAAATTATTGCTTAATGAATTATTATCTGTGTGCATGAAAATTATAATAGAATTACGCTTAAGCTAGAGACTTTCTGCTATTAGTCGACAGTTTTCAATACTTACCTGTAACTTTTAAACCATTTTTAAAATTATTCAGACAACCTCTGACATTTTTTTTAGACAACTGCAAGTGTAATATCTTCCACTGCATAAAAAATAGATAACTATTTCGTGAGTCCTTACACCCATAATGCACGTTATAGTGCTTTCAATATTGTACTATAATAATTTTAATTAGGTGTATAATCTAAGACATCTTAAACAGATTTGTCGTGGCAAGTTGAGATTACGGTGTTCACTTAGCGTCGGTCAAGTGTTTTTAGTGGATAGGGAGGGACAATATACCACATTGACAATATTAATGACCCATGAGAGAAATTGCTCTATATTGTAGGGGTATGGACCTTAAATAATCTATTTTGCTTTTTCGTCGAGTTTTCCTCCAGAAAACATGTTAATGAGCTTCATACGAATCAATTAGTATGTCGGTTATGACAGTGATAATAATTATTATAGGTATAGCAGTCGTATTTACTTTCACCACTAATCATGCACGCAGTTGTTTACCACAAAAATAATACATCCCGGACTTGGATTGTGGTCGACTCATATAATACGAACGGTGGAAATCGTTTTACGAGTACCCTCCATTATCACAAACAAGATGTGTTTAAAAAAAAAATATGCTTACAAAATTCAATTCGAAAAATCGATATCGACCGTTGTACGACTTGATAAAATGGATATTTGACAAACACTGAATATACGTTTAGGTTCCATATTATGTTAATTTGAGATAAGTACATACAGTGCAGATCGATAAAGTTATTCAATACACAACGATAGGTATCGTTTTGTTATATTTTCCGAGCAAACATTCTTCGTATCATTCAAATTAATTAAAAAATAATAATCTAGTAACTTCTTCTTCATTGATTTATGTAATAAATAACAAATAAATAACAAATAATAAAAAAAATAAATAAATTAAATAATAAATTTTTTTTTATTTATTTAGTGTAATACTAAAAATCACGAAAAGCTTCGTAATATAAAATATTTAGGCCTCGCCTTCAGTGAATGTCGTTCGAGATCTGTTTAATATAGAATTTAATCATTAGTCAACAACTGTTTAAATAACATATAGAAAAAAAATGTTTGTTAATTGTAAAAATATTTATGAAAAAGCACAGGAAAAATAATAAACTTTTTGTGAAGTAGACAGCAATATAATAATAACATTTGTTTTGATAAAATAATTTTAAAATGTTTAGCATGGCGATGCTCAATTTCCATCTAAGTTTACTCATACTTTATGCAGACTATAATCTCTATAAATGTATATAATGTTGTCACTAGATTTTTTTTATAATATAACTTTTAAAACTGTTATTAACACTATAATAAACTGAATTCTGCACAAAAATTTGTCTTCAAAAACAGATAACATTTGCTTTAAAATTTAATACGACATTGCACCCATTACTACCAACTGAAAACAAATTACTCATCCCAAAGAGCGATTAATGGCCATTATAATTTTAATTTTGTTTTAAAACATCGTCGATGGAATATCAGTTAAACTGTATACACTTTACACTTATTCCGTAAGTACCTACATGTTGTGTAATTGATTAAATCAATATGTTATCTTGATTATACCTAGATGGTTACCCGAAAAACGTAGTGAATCAAAAAAAGAGAAAAAAAAGTCCTACTTAAATGATAATTCGAACAATGTTATCATAAACTCGTGATACTAAAGTTGCGTTAAAATTGATTTTGATATTGCATACACGATGCACTGCATGCCATCACTTGTCAATTTCGTTTTATAAAACTGTAATAACACACAATTTAGTGTCCATATAAATTATAGTACCAATATTAAACAACGTATTAAATTGTTTTCATAATTTTCAAAGCTCCATGGCTGAATTCTTAAACTGTAATATTGACATGAAAATCTACAGTAAAAAAGTAAATTCGTTGAATTATTGAAGTTAATCTCAAAGTTAATATTTTTACAAGATATTTACCAGCGTAATTTTGAAAAGAGATTTTCGTTTTATAACTAACATAAACCTTAATAATTAAGCAGTGGACCAGTTTATTTATTAATATTTTTACTTAAATAATATATGCTACAGAATTAATTTTTACCATCCTAAATGAATGATACAAGTATAGAAATAGAAATTGCATTAGCTATCCAAACAATTTGTAAGTACTTTGATATAATACGATGTGTGTTAGGCACTTTTACACTTCTGTAGTGTGCCACGGATCTATTTTAAGGAGATTCGACCCAGTCTGCTTTTTATTTTGGTCGAAAATGTAGCTATTTTTTGTTCACTGTTACGATAAAGCTAGCATAATGCAATAAACAATCTAAAAACATATTTAAATTAATCCCGAAACGATGTTTTTTTTAAATGTCTTGAAAACGACATAACAAGGAAAATGTATATTCTCTACCTGTGATGTTTTGATTATTAGTTTTGAAGTGACTACATCTATATATTTTATACATTTTATATTTAATGATAAAATTGAAGAGTATTTAGAAATATGAGACTGAATTTCATTGTATCAGACATATAATTAAATTAAACCCAATATTCGAAATTCTCCATAAATAACGAGTATATTGTTTATCACAATACCCAGTTAATGTTCTCCTTTGTAATAAATTACAAGTTCTTGAACTTTATTTTTTTATTTTCATCTAGGTAAAATATTTAAAAATAACTCTTAAAAAACAAACATCATTGTAAAATCAATACATTCATCGGCTCATCGTTCTGTTAGGAATCTCATAAAAAGTGTACTTAACAGTTATAAAAACCAATCTGGTTTTATTTTATATTTTTTATATGTATTATACAATAAGCCATTTCGCTTTTTGGACGTTATTCAAAATAGATTGATGTATAAATAAAATTGACCTTGATGGTCAATTTTCAATCGTTTCATAAGAACTAATTCTATATAACTACCTTTATCATAAATGTGATTTCACATCTAGATTGTAATTATTTAGCTTTAATAATATAGTTAACTAAAAAGCTGTATATATTAATGAAAACTTTAATAATAGATGAGTTATCAAAAAAAATACTGACGTTTGGGACGACCAGACAACTAAACAGTTCAACTTAAACTATTACATATTAGTATTTACCATGTCTATTATTATAATATTATAAAAATTGTCTATTTGTTGTAATCTTACAAACGAAATAATGATAGTTCATAGCTCAATTTCTTTAAATCTTAAAAAATCTTTACACACGTCATATACAATACTTCGCCATAGTTGTGAGTTTTGACAAAATATTGCTTAAACAATGTTTCTATTATTAACATATAAAATATGTAAGAGTAGTAACTAAATATCAAGGCCACTTTGCTAATTATATATATTATGCAGTACTTGAATTGTACCAAAACGTTGATAGATTCAATAATAAAATAACGATCGTTAAAAATGAAATATTTTATATAGCTCGTAAGGCGAATTATGAAGCATTTGAAAAGTAAAATGATAAACTATCTCATTCTTCTTCGAGGTACTGTAAGAAATGTGCAAATAATTTATTTAAATTACGTGAAATTTGTCCTATTCAAAATTATTATAATAATAAAAGGAAAAAAATTGTCAGGCATTTTCAAACGAACATTAACATAAATGTTTTTTGTCAAAAACCAAATTGAGTTGCCGCAACTCATGAAGACGAATTAAATGTGAAATCACAATATTCATTTATACGAAATAAATAAGATGACTCGTAATAAGGCACACAGCGAACACAAATCGTATTCGATTAAATAGCTCGTCGTACGAATTATTACGTCGACTCTATTTTAACAATCAGTTCCCGGTCGAACCGGAATCTATTATAACAGATCGAACAAACGGTGCGCGCAGTGTGCGTTTGTACAGTGTCATTGGTGACGACAAAAGCCGTCTAAGAAGTGGTGTAGAATTTATTGTACGCGTTAAACAATACTATGATAGTGTGTGTACCCATGGAATTTGCCTTTCAAAAGACTCGTGTACTTAATGCACGCAGATATATATTTTAAGACGTTTTCCATTGTTGGGCGCTCGATTATTCGCGGTGTTTATCGAACGCTGCGTCGTCAAACTCGACGGTGGTCGACAATTTCGATGTGATTGAACGATATTATATTATTATTATTATTATTAAAATTAAAAACGAGTGCTAACTTTATAAATTATAACTATTCTACTATGATCAGTGGCGTACACAGATATTTTAAATGGAAGGGTTTACAAAAAAATTATATGTAAATGTATATAA